AAAGGCGTGCGCCACCACGCATGGTAAGTTGAATTTTAAGTATACAGGACAGTTTTTCCTCCTTTTTGCCTTGGTCTCCTGACCTTTCTCCTCTGATTTTCCTTTTTCCCTCTGTCTTCCTCCCCTGCACTGCTTTCTTCATGAAAAAACAATGTAAAAACATTTTCTGAAGGTTTAGGAGAAAGATACCCATACAAGCATGAATGTGATTAAAGTAATATTTTAGATGATTCAAATTAGAGACCATTTGTAAATCTTAATGGCAGACAGTGTGCTGCAGGAATAGGAAGGGCGGGTGAGTATGAGGAATCTGAGCATCTTATGTCTGGCTGCCTTGTGTAATTGCACAAAAGTTCATTCAAAACACTTAAAGTGAGGGTTTTCAAAATACTTAAAATTCAGGGTGTTATTGGCCTTCAGGGTGTTCAGCCTCTTTGGATAGTTACTCATAGCGCGTCCAGTAGACGTTCCCTGAAGACTGCAGAATGGTAGCTGGGAAGGATCACGCCTGCATTTCTTTTTCAGCACTTCCAGGCTCTGTGGGTAGGACAAGGCACTTTACCGTCAGTAAGGTAAGGAAAATTGTTGAATCACAGAATGTTTTGAGGATTAACTTGAAAACCATGTAAATGTTCATAAATATACAGAGACATCGATAACTTCTTTTTGGCTCTCATCATAATGACTATAAAACTTTAAGATATCCTTCTATATAAATCTTTTCTTCAATATATTTTTATTGAATTTTATGCATTTCATACAATGCATCTTAATCATACTTAGACCCCTTCCCCTATCTGCATGTCCCCATAGCCCACCCACTGGATTTCATGCATTCTGTCATATATGTCAAGGCCTATTGAGTCAGCACCCAGATGTCCTTAGGTGCAGGTTCACCCACTGGAGTCTAGTCAGCCTATCTAGAGTCACTCCCCTAAAGAGGAACAACTCTCCTTCACCTGGCAATGATCAGCTGCCAATAGTTCCTCAGCTAAGGTTGAGGCCTCCTACCCATTTCCCCAGTTTTATTCTGGGCTTTGTCTGATTGAGTTTGCATGGGTTTTGTGCATGCTGTCACCATTACTATAAGTTCATATGAGCAAGTTCCCAGAGGCCTGGGAGACTCTTTTTTTCTTATGATCATGCACCAACCCTGGCTCTTACAGGCTTTCCACCCCCTCTTCCACAATGGTCCCTGAGCCATGGATGGACTCCAATATAGAGTCCTATTCAGGGACACAGACTCTATAGTGTCTTATTCTCTACACTTTGGTCAGTTGTGACCTTCTGTGTGCAATGCCCTCTGTTGCATGAAGAAGCTACTCCGGTGAGAGTTCAGAGGTGCATTAGTATTCTCTCTAATAGCTTAATAGGTTGTAACAGTCTCCATCTGTTGCAAAAAGAAGCTTCTTTGATGAGTGGTGACTGGTATACTTGTCTATAAATATAGGGATCCATACTTAGCATACAGTGAAAAATTACATTTGTTTAAGGATATAAGAGACAGGGTTTTCTGTAGGATCTATAACCTCTCCAGCCATATGTATTTGGCTATGTTTATGGTATTGCACAGAAATTTCCTCCCACTGAGCGGACTTTAAGCCCAATTAGATAGCTGTTGATTATCTCCAAGATAAAAGTGCCATTACTGTACTGATAGAGTTTGCTTCTATATTATCTTAATGCTTTGACATATTACATGGGTTGAGTACCAACTTCAGGATTTTCTGAGGAGACCAGGCTCCAGTGTGCTGAGCCAGGATGACTTGCTGCCAAATGAAAGGCAGTGTTAAGTATTTTCATTTCTCTTTGAATAACCCTTTTGATGGTACACCCTGTAACCAATGTTGAATCCTCTAATCAACACTTAAGCAATTCCTTTGCCTGTTCCAGAATTGATATCAACACCATAAAATTAACTTGTTTCTGTGAAAATAAGAAGTATATGAAGGAAAAAATTTAAAAACAAGTTATTATGTTGTAGTGCTTCCCAGTCTTTTTGTCTTGACATATAGCTCTTATCACTAATTATGAGTATTTTCCCATGTGTACCTTATTACCTTTCTTATTCAAGTTTTGCAATAGTTATTTAATAAAGTAATATCCTTAGAAAGATAAAATGATGTCTTACAAAAGATGATGCTATTCTGAGCTGTATACATTACAAGCTAAAGGGTTCATGTACAGAGAGATGGGTGTTAGCTGATCCCTGTGCCAAGAGCATGCTTCTTGTCTGCATAGACAGGACAGGAGGACAGTCTGTATACTGTCCTTAGCTGTCTGTGTAGAGTGGTAGGGACAGCACAGGCTTCAGATGCAGGCCGAGCTGACCAACCTGGTTCCACCATTCACTCTCTGTATGATGCTGGGCAATCATATACCCTCCCTGATCGCTGGAATAAACAATGCCTGCCAGTCAGGGCTCCATTAGGAATGGAGACAGCAGATAGTTGTTATGTGTGGTCCCCTGTCTGGATGGGTTAGGCAACAGATAAATGAAGGGAGAAATCTAAGGTCTGGATTTATAAAATTTAAGCATACATTGTAGAGAACATCTTGCAACTGTAATAAGCCAAGATAACTCTTAAAATATTTATCTTTTTCTCTTCTACTTACCAAAATATTACTGCCAGAGGGGGGATGGAAAATGATGAGAATGCAACCTGGCTTTAAATGTTCTCATCAAAACACAGCAGGCTTCAGTGAATCTCAGTGTCCACTTCATCTCAAGAAACCCTTACTAAAGGTCTGTAGCTTGACCACCCTGGGTTAGGCCTCAGGGTTCAGAGATGAGCTCCAGGGGGCATTCACAATCCAAAGAAACATCCTGTGACTTTTTCTTAGATTGAGTTTAGAAAAAATAACATTTTTACTATACTTTAAGAAAAATTCAGGGGGCTAGAGAGATGGCCCTGAGGTAAAGAGCACTGGCTGCTCTTGCAGAAGACCTGAATTTGATTCCTAGCACCCACCTAGCAGCTAACAACTGTCCATAACTCCAGCTCCAGAGGATGCAACACCCTCTTCTGGCCTTTACAGGCATTGCACACAGGGGTGCACTACATACATGCAGGCAGTATACCTATACACATAAAATAAATAAATACAAACAAACAAATATATAAATAATTTTTTAAATGTTAGAATGAAAATACCTTTACTGAACCTTATTCTGGGTGGTGGAGTTCAGCGTATAAATTCTGAATACTTTACTTTTTCTTAAACACATAGTTGTCTGTGGAGGGGACAGTGCTGTAGTAGATATAAATGTGTTATTAAGCAGTAAGAAATGGGATATCACAAGGAAATGATACTGGGTGTACTTTTAGGATGAGTTCACTAGCAAGAATAATAATCTTCTAGGCCCCAAAACTTCATGCTGGTCACCGAGCATGGAGCTTAATCCTGTACAGGACAGAAAGAAGCTATGTGGTTTGTGGAGGACATAGGAAGAGGGTGCAGCGTGAGCTTGGAGCCACTGGAACAGAATTAAATTTGAATTTTTGAAAAGATAGCATTTTTATCTCTAGTTCAGAGAAATGTTGAAAATGTTGTATAATGAACAAAAGCAAAAACAATAGCAGAGCTGGTCAATATAAAATAATTACTGAAATTTAGATAATATATACAAACATGTCTTTGCTGAAATCAGGCTTATTTAGAAAAATGAGTGGTGCCTGTTCCTGTCCAGCTAATTGGCAAGTTAGAAATGGACCAGGACAGTAAACACGCGCTTGGTGATAGAGCTAAGCCATTTGCCATGAACTCATCTGCAGAGAGTTCGAATGTGTTACAACATTGGCCATTGCTGCTCACTAAGCCTCCACCAGTTACCACTGATATGGATACAGTTAACTTTGCAGAGAAAATTTATAGAAATGGCAAAACTTTATTTATAAAGTAAATGTGTAAGTATTATATATTTTATGTGTATCTCTCTTTAAAACCTAGAGCACTGGCAAGAGGTATTTTGGTGGGGGATCATGCAAGAAAAGCTCAAGTAAATAGAAAGAAGTGAAAGCACTGACCTGCACTGTTGATATTGTTTTCTCATTATACCCTGGTTCTTCTCTTTATGTAAGGCGCTGGAGGAGGAGTCAGAAAGCCAGGATTCTAGGCCCCATGTTACCACTTTCTCTACACCAGCCTTGTCTCAGGCCCCTCCTCTAGCATTCAGTTTCCTGCTCTCTCAAATGAAAAGAGTTTTCAGATAGCCTCCACAGGATCCCACGAAGCTGCTTCAAGGGCCTCTCTGAAGGACGAAGGTGGCATTCTGCCAGTGTTTCCCCTTCAAGCTGAGCAGCTTGGCTTTTATTTGTATTAGAGTTGGGCCATTACAAGACTTTTGACAAAAGAATCCTATCACTTTTTAAAAGTTTGAAAATCACTGAGCTAGATGTTTCCTAAGGGCCTCTCCACTCAGTCTCCACGTCTCTAAAATGGGCATAACAGGTCTTGCTTATGTTGCTGAGGGGTCAAACACAACAGCTTGTGAAACATGGGAGGCATTTGATGTGTCAGCTGTTACTGCTCCCTACCCTACTGACAGCCCTCACTCTAATAAGCATATATTTCCTTTGATTCTTAAATTCTGAATATGGAATGATAGCCTAACAATACTTTTTGTCAAAATACTATAAAAATGTCTTAGACATTTACCTTGTAAATTAAAAAATATTCTTTTTAATTTTATGTGTGTATATCTGTCTGTCTGCTGTATGTCTGTCTGTATGCACGAATGAGCATGTCACAGTGTACATTGGCAATCAGAGGGCAACTTATGGAGGTCAGTTCTCTCCTTCCACCATGTGGGTCCTTGAGATTGAACTCAGGTCATCAGGCTTTGGCAGCAAGCACCTTTACCTACTGAATTTTTGATATATTTTTATTTCTACCTTTTATACATTACTTGCTTTCTCCTCACAACAATTTACATTTATATCAGATTTTTTAAAATAAATCAGATAATGCATTTCTGAAAGGCTATGTGTGTGTTCCAGGCTTGCGAGCTCCTGGGAAAGTGACATCAGCATCCACGCCTTAACTTTACCCTCTGCCACTTGCCTGGAGCTGCTTTTGATCCTGTCAAGGAGCAATGCCTCACTGCCTCAGTCCCTTCGCCAAATGAATTCCTTTCAGGTAAGAAAAGCTGTTAACTAAGGTGTGATTTCTCCGAGATCCTCTCATTCACAGGAGATAGCCCATGGAAAGCCACCATTTTAATGACAAGGCTAGTATGTCATGTATATACAAAGGTGCTAGCCCTTCTAGAGTTCAGGAATTATCTGGCAGTGATGTGATGGAACCCATATCTGTAACTCAAGGGTTTGCCTTAGCCCCCATCTTTTCTGCCTCAAGAAAAGTGACAATAAGATTGGCCCAGGTGCTTGCAAACACCACATCCTTCTCTCAGCTTTGCTCTGGAACGAAGACATCCGGCATTATTAGTGGCTTAATGGCTTTGCTACTGTAAGTTTGAAGTCTGATGCTGACTACGTGCTTAATAGAAGTAGAGAACCCATGTCAGCACTGTTCCCTCACCTCAGCCCCTCCCTCAATACTTCTCTGCCCCCTGGGTGCTGCTGGTAGCAACTGACCAGCAGGCATCCCCCTTCCCTGGTAGCCAAATAATTGTTGCATGAGGTAGCAGACCAGAATCATATTGTGACCCTGAGTGCATCTGTCTGGCCTGTGACAGTTGGAAAATGCTTATGAGCCCTCGGGTGCTGGTAGGAAAGCCACAGTCACTGCTGAGAAGGTAGGGCTGGTTCCACTTCTGAAGGTTCTTGGTCTACGGTAAGACAATACCAGCCAAGCATAGTATGTGTGACCCCACGCTTCTCTGTTACATGATAGAACAGGCCATGGAAAAATCAGGAAATTGATCAGAAATAGCTGCTCTGATCCAATTTAATCCATATTCTCTTGGAAATCTGTTAAGCTGGGTATCTCTGTGATTTGCTTCCTTTTAATGAAACCTGGGGGCTGACACAAGAGTTAGCCTCTGGTTTTTGTGTGCCTATTTCTGCTTGTTGTTAACCAAGTTCAACCCTGGACTCCCAAAAGGACCTTAAAGAACAATGCATTGTATAGGACTGAAATTAAGAGCCAGAGGAGTGGACCAGGATGCTGGGACCACATGATCTGCTAGAAGCTAAGCTGAACTCACTAGGCCTGAGATGAGACCTCCCTTTCCACCCGAGTGTTCACTGATGTCCTGGGAGTGGAGGGAGTGTGCATGGCTGGAGACAGGTCACATCTACTTCAGTGTCCACATGTACACCCTTGTTTCGCATTAATTTGTAATTCTTTATTGGTATAACACTTTGATTTAAAATTCTGTAATCTATCAAGGTTTCTTCTAAGTTTTACTCAGTAGCTAATGAATAATAAAAATTTGTATACAGCCACATACTTTTATGCAAAAGGATGCAATGATCTTAGCTGTGGTTATATCAGGGGCAAAGTTGAAGACAATTATTTTTTATTCCTCTCTCATATACTATTTATGATTTTTTTCTGCCAAGTGATGACTCTTCTAGGATTTTATGGCTTACTGGAGGAGATAGGACAGCCATCCATGTGTGATATCAATTGAGAATAGTTTTATTACAAAGTAACCTGAACAAAAGTCTGAGACTGTAGGTATAAAATAATCTAAATGGAGGGTGAGGGATTTGAGCAAAGGACCAGCTGGGATTTCTTCTCCAGAAGACAGTGGAGGTATTTCTCCCTTTGAGAGTGGCATCTTGGTGTCCTGTAGGCTCAGCTGCATGGAAGGGTAGCCTGCCACTGGTGCCACCTGCCACTGGTGCCATCTGCGTGCTCTCAGTGTCTGCTGAGTGGTGTTTGCAGAGCTATCTGAATGTGACTGGCTGAATTTCTTTCTCTTGAGTAGTGACTGGGCTCGGTGGCATTTCCCTCCTTTGGCGAGTGATTGTCAGAGAACATACACATTTCCAACTTCAGACATACAGAGAAACTTGGCAGAATCTCATGAACAATGTCTGCCAAAAATTTATCCCTGCCGTTATCCCTGAAAGATGTGTGGTGTATTCTTAACAGGAGCATTCCAGGTTGGCTTCCTCCAGTAGGTCTTTGCTCCAGATAAAGGATCAGTGAGAATAGGAGCAGTATCTGGCAGGGCTGGAGAGATACTCTGCCTGTTCATGTTTGTAACACCTACTTTATCATCTCTGATCCTTGCAAGGAGTAGAGCTGCTAATTGTGCCTGCATTCAAGAATTGTTTGAATTGGAAACTCACTCACATGCATATCTTTTCTAAGCTGTAGTGGCAAGGGCTGTAAAGTGGTGAATACCTCTCATTACAGGATGATCTTTGCTTTCCAATTCTCTTACTTTCCAGGCTGAGGTAGTAACTATTATTTTAGGATTCAAAGGCCACTCCTGCTTGAATTCTTATAACAGCCAAGTCCCAAAGAAAAGGGTTTATCTTATTAATGAGAGCTATGAACATGTATGAAATTCTGTCTGTATTATAGCATTTCTCTTGGGTCAATGGAGATATCTTTTGGTGGATGTGTCATGATTTTAGCTTCCACTCTGCTGGTACAGTGTGGCTATCTGCAAATAGAGTGCAGGATTTAATTGAGAATCACTATTGTAGTTAGAGTTGTGGCCCCAAGAATGGGGTAGACTTACCTCTCCTTACTTAGAATTCTTATGGGAGGAAAAACCAACCACTTTATTATCTGCTGTGTGAAGCTGGCAGCATCGTGCCCTCCTGCCTTCTCCTACCTCATCTCCTGCTCTCTCCCTCCCCTGTTCCAATCTTGTTGATGCCTTGTTTCCTCCTCTTTGTCTCTAGCGTCTTCTGACCATAGCATCTGTGTACTGGCTATTCTCTCTGCTGCTGAAAAAATACCCTGTACCAGGGCTTTGCATGGCTGGCTTCCACTGAGCTTTCAAGTTTCAACTCAGGTGACCCTTCCCTGAAGACCTTAACCTGACTCCCTCACTGCCTCCCCTTCACCTGCCAGCATTATTATAATCTTACGACTACGTGAAATGATTGTGTTCACTTATCTTTTTCCCCTACTAAAATGTGTGCTGAGCGAGAGCAGAGGGTGTTATGGTTTGAATCTGAAATGGCCACAGAGGCTCACGTTTTGAACAGTGGGCCCTTAGCTTGTGACACTGGTCTGAAGGCTGTGGAGCCTTTCAGGAGGTGGGGCTTGGTTGGTGGAAGTGGCACATGGGAGCAGGGCTTTGAAGGCTGTACCTGGTTGTGGCTTGCGGTCTCTGCTTCCTGGCGGCTGTTTTATGAGCAGCCTGCCATTTCGCCCTCCTGCTGTCATTAGCTCTGCCATGTCTTCTCTGCTATGATGCACTAAGACTCTGCAACCATGAGCCAAGATAACGCTCTCTCCAGTAAGCTATTTCTATCAGGTATTTTATGATAAGGAATGTAAACAGTACAGGGGGAATATTTGGTTGTGTTCAGTAGTGCATCAGCAAAACTTAAAGCCTAAGTGTACAAAGTAATGAAAAGAAAACTGGATGAGTAGGTGGTTGCGCAAATAAGATGCAAGTTGGGAATGGCCATAGAATAGTCTAGAAATCAAGAAGACTGAACTAGAGGAGGCAGAGGTGTGAGCTGTATGAATTCAGAGACAGAAACTGCACTCCATTCTCTGCTTGCCCAAGACCAGACTCAGTGTCAGATTTGGGTTCAAGATTTACCAACAGGGTTGAGCACAGATGGGCATCTGCATTGAAATTGTACCCTAGAGCTCTCTACAAATGAGAAAAACAGAGTTCTGCTCTTAGAAAGATCTGGTAGCGTTCAGATCAGCAGTGACCTGTGTACAGAATTGGGCTCCCGTGGACACTACAGATTATAGCAGACAGGGGGATGTGGCCAAAATTTGGTGCCTGAAATCTGAGGGCATTGAGGGGGCTCCTGTGGAGCGGGCAGGTTGTGCCTGCTGCTGCCATTATTGCTGCTAGCCGTTATACTCCGAATGCTCAGAGCTCAGGGATGAGGCAGCCAGAGCCGTTTCCCTGTCCATGATGATGGGTAGTACTGACTCCTAGCCTGAAGTCCTGCAGTGGACATTGGAGATTTCCAGAAGGATACCAATCACATTGGTATCCGTGGACTGGACAAGAACTGCTGAGTTCCATGATAACTGCATTTTTTCCTAGTATGCTAGCCTATTATAGCTGTAGATGAAAGACTCTAAAGATCTTATTCTGACAGGCAGGAAAACACACTCAGGAATGGCAGGTGGGTGGTAAAGTGTAAAGTAGACTTGTTTGCAATGCTTTGTAGCTCCAGAGCAGCTCTCCTTGGGTAGAGAGAGGACTTTGCACATGCATGCATGCGTGTGTGTGTGTGTGTGTGTGTGTGTCCATGTGAGTGCATGTGTGTGCAGATGGACATAGAAACCAGAAGTCAACCCCGGGTGCTAGTCCTCTGATGCCATCCAGCTTGGATTTTCATTTTTTAACTTCTTTTTTAAGACTTTTTTAAAAAGATTTTTATTTTATTTTTATTTATATGTATGTGTATGTGACTGAGTGAGTGTATTCCACATGTAGTGTGTGGGTGTCCATGGAAGCCAGAAGAGAGTACAGATCTGGAACTGGAGTTACAGCCAGTTGTAAACCAGCCAACATGGATGCTGGGAACTGAACTTAGGGTCCTCTGGAGAAACAGCAAGTGCTTTTAACTTCTAAGCCATATCTCCAGTTCCCCTACTTATTTCTCAAGACAGGGTCTCTCATTGACTTGGAGCTCACTGAACATCATTATCAGTGAGCCCCAGAAGTCCTCCTGTGTCCTCCTCCCCAGCTCTGGGGTTACAAGCACATGCCAAGTGCCCAGCCTTTTTATGTGGATTCTAGGGATCAAACTCTGGTCCTTATGATTGTGTGGCAAGCACTTTACCAATTGAGCCGCCTCTTCAGCCTAAGAAGAGCATTTCCTATACCAGCATTTCATGGCTGTTATTAGATATTATAAAACAATTCGGTATGAATCATACAATACTAATGAAAGTGAGTATTATCTAATACTAATAGCTAGCATTTATTGAATGCTTTCTGTATGCTATGTACTGTTCTCAATGATTTGCATTTATTAGCTTATTTCATTTCCACAACAGCACTGTGA